TATATGTATATGTTTTAATTGGAGTGATGACGTTTCACCATCAGGGCTCCTGAGTTCAACAGGATGATCAATATGACCCATCTGCTTCACATAATTTACTTTCCCCTGATGCTGATCCCACTTCGTCTAGCCTAAATAAAACATAGTGACATTAATGGTCAGACCTTTGGAATAACTGATGAAACACTTTTTAAAAAAAATCTAAAAGTATATGTATTTTTAAGTTTTAATTTTTCTGTTGTATTAGCTGGTGAGGTAACCTACTATAATTCAGTCAGTCTGCTCTGTAAGAAGTTTTAAAATGTACAGCACAATCCCAGACAAACTTTACTGATAAATACAGCATGACATCATGCTACGAACATGTGAGTCTTTGTAAGATGGACTTTTCAAAACGTCATGTTGGTGCTCTTCAGCACCTGCTTCTCATTTAAATCTCTGCCCTCCTCTCTGGTGTAAATCAGAGCATCGATCGGCAGATAATGGTCTTAATAAATCGACCAAGTGGATCAGGTTTAAATTATCTTTTATTGTCAAGTTGCTGATGAAACCCTGGTGGGATTTTTTTTCCTCACATCAAGTCAGACATTTGTTTTTCATTAGACCAGGTGTTTTTTTAAGGCAGTCAGACAAGGCCTTGTTGTGGATACTGCTGCTGTTTTTGTACTTTCTGTTTTTAATAGCTCCTTAAATGCATCATTAAGACCGACTGCTCTGAATAAGCTATAGTGGGTGATTCTCTTGCAGTAAAACCTTCAGCTCTACTTAGAAACTATTTCAACAAGGTGCTTGATAAACATGGAATTTATAAATTTGTGGTGTCAAATGTTCCAGTTTCAAAGCACACGTTGTAGCGTTGGTGGTAGAGACGAGATTTGAAGTGTGACATGCACAATTCACTGAGGAAAAACTGAAATGAGCAACAAATAACAGCTTTTTTACTTTTCTTCATTACCTTTGTTTGTGCCAGAAGAAAAGAGAATTCATGAGTGTTTTTCTGCTATTTAATGTTTCAGTCAATTACAGCCTCTGTTGATTTAGTCCTCAGGCTGTTCAACTTGTATCATATGTCAGGATATTTATAGATAATCAAGATGGCACTGAAATTAACCGACTGAAATTAAATAATTGAGATGTTCTTTTTGTTTATTGATGGAAGAGTATTTTGTTTTCTGTGCTTGGTGTGTTCTGTAATATATAGTGCTAATGTGTCAAAGAATGTCAGCAATGGGTAACATTTGACATCTTGTGCAGTTTATGGTTTAGTTTTATATAGATAGGCCTGTCACAATAACAAATTTTGCTGGGCGATTAATTGTCTCAGAAATTATTGTGATAAACGATAATATTGTTTGAAATCTGACAATAATTAGTAATTATTGTCAAATTTAAGAAGACATGTTTAATTTGTTTTGATTGTGGTGCCTTTTTTCGACCACCAGATGGTATAAGACTGTTTGAATCGAAGAATGGATAGTGAGGGAGCGAGCAGCGTGTCTCTTTAAGAAAAATGGGAGGGAGGCCCCTTGACGTGACACGGGCTGTCTCTCTTCGGTTCTCAAAATGACGGATGCTCGGTGTGGTTTGAGCTCTTGAGCATAACATTTTTCACACAAAGCTTTTAATAAAAAAATCAGCAAACAAGTTCTCAGCTTCATTTTGCAGAGAAAAACAACTTTTTTCACGAAGGCACAGGTTTCATCAGTGACTTTTGGAGCTTCGACAAGACAGAGGTTTTTCCCCCGAGGTCGGCCTGTTAGCTTAGCTCTTAGCTTAGCTTCTCAGCTTAGCTGCTTTTCCAGAAAGGTGATTTTGGATAATTAAAACTAATTTTAAGGAGAAAGGAGAAAGGGAGGGGTTAATGAAGAGCACCTGAGTCGAGTTTTTTGTCTTCCAGTGTCTTCAGAAGAAACGGAGAGACACGAAGAAACGATAAGACCGTTGAATGAAAATGAGGTTGATAATTTTAATTTATCGTGTGATTAATTTAATTATTATTTATTGCGACAGGCCTAGTTTTATATTGATGGGAGTTACTCATGATGTCCTCCAGCTTCCTCCTCCATCTCCTCATTATCCAAGCAGTTCCTATTATCATGTGCTATTTATAGGAGAGTACACATGTCCTGATGTGCAGCAGTGGAATGGTATTTCATGTTAGACTGGAAATATCCTATGATCCCCTTGACTGCTCTGCACAATTATAAGAATGTGTGAATATAGGAATTCAAGGTTCATGTCAGACTTTCAGACATGTATCCTGGTGTCCTGGAGATAACTCATGTTGGTGCTGCAGTAGGATGGTGGGAGGGAAATGAACTTTCATCCTCTTATGGTTTTCAGATCATGAATGAAGTCAGAGTGGGGGTGACCCTGTCCAGCTGTGGTCAGAATGGTAAAAAGGAACATACTACTCTGAGTGATGGTCAAAAAAGTATTCTAACTGTAAAACCAACACCACAGAAAAGTGACTTCTTGACTTAATTTATTCATCACCCTCAGACTCGCTCTAGTAACAAGCTGTCAAAACTGTCTGTGCTTCCACTGAACTGGGAAGAAATGCTTTCAAATGAAAACCAATATGACTTACTGCTGACTAGATTACCATTGAAATGAGCTAAACTGATGTAATTTAAAAGACTCCATTTGTTTTTGTAATGTTAGAGTCAAAATGTCCACTTGTACAATCACCATTGTTGTTTACATCACTGTTCATTAGTAGCAGTGGTGGAAAGTGCCTGGATTGACTGTGGTTAGTTGACCCTTCAGCTTTTTCTCTTTCAACCCGAGCACAGCCACATAATAATGAAAACATTACTGGAAGTGTGGGGGTGAAACTGATCCATGATTTGAAGGTAAAGGAGAGACAGAGTTATTGAGGAGGAGCGTCACGTTCTTCATCAGCTGTTCTGTGTCAGGCTGAGTCAGGGTTAGTTTTAGAACAGCTTCATGTTGGTTTGTGCAAAAACCAGTGGCATCTTCAAATTTGAGTCCAAATTGTTTATTCAAGGTAATTATTTTAGTTCTGATTGTTTTAGTTTTAAAGGATTGAATGGATGAGAAAACTGTTAAGGAAATATGCAACTGGACTGGAAGTTGTGAGGGAAACTGAGACCTGTCTGTGGCTTTTGAACAGACGTGTCCAAGACAATTCAGGGCAGTAGTCTGACTTCGAAGTGTGCTGCATAGCATATTGAATTGAAGTATTGCAGTGGTAACACTGCTGCATTATGCCACTGAGTTGTTCTTCTTGTGTTTTAGGTTAAAAACGTTGATCATCTGCTGGTAAAACCAACATAATCTTATAGTTTTGTTGTAGGTCCCTATCACCACAAACATTTGTGGCCTCTTTCCTGCTAGCTCTTGGTGATGAATGTGTCAAATTAAACTAGAGGAATTGCATTTCTTGTGAAAATGTAGTGTGAATGCTTATTGCAGAAGAACTTGCTAAAAACAGCTGAAATTAGCTAAAAACATGCTGAATTGTAGCTGAAATGGAAGAACAAGCCTAAATTAGCAGAAGAAAGCAGAAAGAACTCATATTTGCTTAATTAGGTTTAAATAAGTAGAAACGAGCACAAAAAAAAATAGGAAATTGTCTAAAAAAGGCTGAAATTGGCACAAAAGAAATGTCTGAAAAGTAGCTGAAAAGGCAGAACAAAGCTTAAACTACCAGAAGAAAGTGAAAAGAGCTGATGAGCTAAAAAATGTGGATTCAGCTGAAAATGCTAAAATTTGCATCAAAATAGCTAAATAGTAGCTGAAATTCAATTCAGTTCAGGTTATTTATATAGCGCCAAGTCACAACAGAAGTCATCTCAGGGCACAAGAGCAGAAAATGCTGAAAGGAGCATACTGCATAAGCTGAAATTAGAATAAAGAAGTTAATTAGGTTGAAAGTAACAGAAATGAACATGAACAACTTGAATTTATCTGAAAACAGCTTAAATTAGCTAAAAAAAATGCTAAAGTTGTAGCTGAAAAGTTGGAACAAGCTTAAATTAGCAGAGGAAAGCACAAATTACACATGCTTGCCCAGTTATCATGAAAGAAGCATGCATGAGCACAAAAAGTGACAATTATCTGAAAACAGCTTAAGTGAGCAAAGAAACAGCTGAAAAGTAGCTAAACAAGCAGAAAGACGTTTAAATTACCAGAAGTGTAGAGAGCACATTTTTGCTGAATTGGGCAGAAAAAAGTTTAAATGAGTGGGGAAAAAATGTGGAATTAGCCAAAAAGGCTAAAATT